CCCCCCCCCCCCCCCCCCCCATGGGCAACTCATTTGCTCACCAAATTATTAATTCCTTCTATTCGGTTCTGTTTCTTCTATTTTTAGCGGGAAGACAATTGGCGTTGACAGGGGAGGACAAGTTCAGCCAGTGGCAAAAGCAGCGACACAAGCACAAGATCTCCCCGTGGTCCTTCCGCAAACGCTACCTGCGGCCCACCAAGTCGAACCCGACCCCGACGGCCATGCTGCGGATGCTTCCTTTCGCACTGTTACCCACGACAGCCTCGGGCATTTCCACTTCCCCGCCAGGAAATCCCAGCACTAGCAACCCGACGTCGAGAGACTTGCTCAAAGTCGACGAATGCAACAGTTGCGACAAGGCGAGCCTTCGATCCACGAAAAGCGCAAACGCGTGCTAAAAACATATCTGCAGAAATATTTCGGTTACCCTTTCTGTTTTTTCTTTTCGCACGGAGCTGTTCGAAATTTCGACAAACCCTCTACCAAAAATATCCCGCAGTGTTTCAATTCAGGCAACGCAGAAATACTTGGCACTTTCGGGAAGCCTCAAAAGTCTGCCCTGCGGTGAAATGTCAGTATGCATCTTCGGCGAGATGCCGATTCCGTCTGCCAAACCGGGCATGGGACCCAAAACCCACGGCCTCAAACGAACCCAGAATCAAACATCCTGCCACACACCGTCACGCCATTCGAGCCATAGACAAACCAATGCTTTCAGTAATGTGTGAATAACTGTATGTAGTTTACAAAGGAACGAAATGCACTTGAAAAAGAACAAAGAAATGGTCTCACCTGCAACACGGGGTCTGTTTATTTCCAGCAGTCGCACTTCAAAACACTCCACCAATTATCAGCGCGTTCGAGCTCTGCAAACAAACGCAGTTCAAGAGATTATCTGAAATCATAATCTTTGCATGATGTTCCAAAGGCAGGGCTGAGAGTGAAAGCAGACAAAAATCAAAAACAGGGCACAGCAACCTTCCTTTTATATTTTCTGTCCGGACAAATTTTCACACCCCAAAAACACGGAACCTTTCCAAAATATCGTGGAAGGAAACTGATCGAAGGCCAGACGCAGCCGAATAACACACAATCGAAATTTCAAAAAATTTCCAAGTACGAACCCCATCACCGAACAAAAGACATACATACAACGCGGTAAAATTTGAAAAGGGCAAGAACGTTTCATGACCAACACATTCTCGCGGATTGAATCAAAGTATTCACAAATGAGGATAGTTCAACGGGCTCGTTACTCGAAATAAACGTTACGACGTATCACGGCGGAAAGACGAATGACAAGGGGAAGAAATTAAAGTTTCTCAATGGTAAGAGGTCATCACAAGTACGAAAACGAGAGAGACGAGGTCATCTCCTTTTTCCTCGATCAGGCTTGCTCTTCAGTCTTCACATCGAATTCCCGGCAACTCTTCACAATTATTTCGGTAATCCAATGCCCACAACGTTTGCTGTAAAGAAAATTTAAGGTAAAAATCAGTTCTGTACATCCGTTCCTCAGCAAGCACAAATTGAAAAATCCGTCGATCTACATTCTTCAAATGTCTTGAATTACTTTCCTTTTTACTACCTAAACGCAACCCGAATTCGATTCCAGTTTCGGTGTTTCAATTACGGCGAAGTCAACGTGGTTCGTTCATGGGATTTTCTTCATTGCAGCAGTCAAAACCAAATCTGAGGCACCAAGTTCAAATTGTTCCGGCTAGCTTTGTCTCAGCTACTCATGAAATTAATTACGTTCGGTTAGTTGCGAATTAAGATAAATTATCTCCATTCTTCACGAGTTACTCATTCGGTTCAATTCCGATATTACGATTGAAATACAATCGCACCTCTCCACGTGGCGGGGGGGAAGAAGAAGAATCACAGGAAATAGTACTTGTTGATATTCCGAGCCTTAAATTGCTTCTCGAAGGGGTTGACAGGATGCTGAATTCGGAAACAAGGGATCATTTGCCCAACTAATCAATCAATTTCTTCCAAGGCACATCAAGTTACCTTGTTATAGCTTTCTCTTCTCTGCGTATCAACAAATAATCGTCAAAAGGTCTGCAGAAATTTTTTATTTTCGAGGGTTGAAGCGGAAAAGCCTTTGGGTTAGGAAGGTTTCTCGTGCAGTGATTCAAAGAGAATTCTGACAGGGACTCCAGCAACAATTCGACACACAGAGGTATTTGAATTTCGGAGGTTCGAGCTATCGAAGTGCAGTTCGGTTTTCGGGTAGTTTTGCGCAAGTTCAAAATAAATAAATAAACCATGGTGGTACAACAGTGACGCCTCAAATGAATGTAATTAGTGCATGAGGACGGCTCTACAAGAGAGTGCACTTGAATTGCTCATATCTGAACATTTTCAAGATTCAGGACACATACGTGAATAAGTATCCAAGAAATAAATTTACCGTAGTCTCACTGATCAGAAGATTGCTCTTCTTCGTCCTTCCGTTTCTTCTCACTTTCCTTTCCAGAGGATATGGTTCTTTGTCTGGCGTTTTGCTCACTGTTCTGCATCACCTGGACCACCTTCCGTACATTTCCTGACGGATCAAAACGGCTCGTGTGTTGCTCAGCTTCTTTCTTCGTTCGCTGCTTCCCGCTGCGACCATGCATATATTTCTCCTGGTCATAATTGAAGTGCTCGTACTCATCGAAATGCTTTTCCGACATAGCCAAGGCTAAAATTCACACCAACTTTCGAAGCGCGGAATAAATCGATTTCTCTGCAACGAATATCAATATTTCCGATACAGTATTCACCTCGGATACAGACTTGGACATTACAAGTAGAGATCACATATTGTTCTAAGCCAAGCTTTGGGACGCGAAGAAGACGATTTCGTTCACACGATCGCAAGATATTCGACCTCCAATGTCTCCGAATACTGCGGCCATGAATTCACACGCACTCAACGGTTTAATATTGTCAAATAACACACTCTTGGCACGTTGAACAGCGAGAAGTCTTCTTGATAATCCAACACGATAGAACCTAAATATTTCAACAGAAATTAATTATTCAAACGCAATGACATGAGACAATATCCAATAAATTAACACTGATATATATGCGGTAAAAAAAAATTAAGACAACTCTAGTGGATTCACCTGGCCAAAATCCGATCATTATCGCAGTTCATTGAAGCCTCCATCCGAAGACAGAGAGATTCGTATCCTTGAATGTCTGCTTCGATAGAACTTAGACTTGTTGCGTAATTACCCCAGGCCTTCACAAGAACATCTTCTATCACTGATTTCTCAAAACCTGCACGTTCTTCAGAATTTCTCAGTTCATTTTGCAACGCACTGACTTGTTCACACACATTTACAAACAATCTTATCTTCTCCAATGATTCTTCACGAAGCTTTCGCCATTCTGACCAAGTAGAAGTCGACATCTGGAAGACATTAATAATACGCAATTAATTGTGAGCATGAGAATTATTGAAATATCTGTAGTTCCAGTCACAGTAGCAAGCAGAGTGGGTCATTTTTGAGACTAAATGGCGTATTCCCTCTCGCCGAGCTACTTCCATTAAAGTTTTCTTCATCAGTCTTCATGTACAATATACGCTTCAAACATGATCGTACATTTCAGCGTGAAGATTAATCATAAAACATGTCGAGAAGAATACAACAGTCACTCGCAACGCAGCATCGCACAGGACATTAAAAATACCAGGTCAGTGCACCCATCAATCCCAGTACAGGTAGCGCTGACACGCGGCACCATAATCCAATACGCTGCAACCTTCGAATACAGTAAACCAACGCGAAGCTCTATCAAAACACGATCACTGTATTAAAGCCTGCGACGCATCCACAGTTGCTTATAAGCAGCGATCAATTAGGGACATCTGAAATCATTAATCATAATGTTCATCCGACCACCCAATTTTTTACTAACCTTTCCTGCAATATAAAATCAGTTTTTTCGCCAAGCAGAAGAGTTGCACCTTCTGATTTTTTCGCGCTTCGCACAATCCCGGGCCCCGACCTTTCCATGCTTCGAAGAAAATTATTCGGGTGGGAGGGTTTATAGGCGCGCCTAGTACTGTAAATCAAAGTTCGCCGATGTCGCTATCTCACCGGCAGCAAAGTCGTACTTCTGTATATGATGAAGTTCCAGTTTTAGACTTGAGGTTATATTCATAATTAAATTGAAAATTTACTGCATCCGGTTTGAAAATTTCACTTAGCACAGTTTTGCCTTGAATGCTTCAAGTTCACCTTTCTCTTCTAAATTCCGCAGTACCATACTGTATTTCTACAGGGAGGTAAAATAAAAAGCACAGGCGGGTTTTCGAATTCACCCTCTTTTCCAGGGATAAGTTTATCCTACCCTAGCTGTAATCATAGAGGTGGGTGTCAGTCACACAGCACACCACATAACGACAGTAAGTTAACATTGGTGCATTTTTGGGATGGACAGTACAAGTACTGTATCATGTTTCAGTTGACATGTCATGGAAAAAATATTCTGCGTGAGACTTCCTTGGAAATTGTTTTCTCATGAGAATATCTTTTTCCGATTCAGTTCGAAAAATGCGCTAATGCCTCAGAGCTTTTACCAGGGTAACTATGATTAGATGAAGCGATGCTTCAAAATGAACCACACGGTGAGTAGCTGCTACCAAAAATCGATTTGCACAAATACTTCAGTGAAAACAGATGCATACAACTATACAGACTCAAGTTGACGATGTGATCCAGACTAGGTCAAATTTTAACGTTAAGCTAACAAAATCTGGGGTGAATGTCATACATAGAAACAGGTTTTCAGGTAAATATACATTTCAAGTCTCACTCAAGACTATCAAATGGCTCAGTACTGAAGTAAATATGGCACATTCAGCCTCTTCAAGAGGTATGTTAATCGAGCAATGTTTTTCCACCTTGCACAACGTTTACCACAAAAACAGTTACCAAAAACATGCACACTTCAGCAATACCTTAATATTCCATTCGTTTCAAACCACTCAGCAAGCCCCAGTTTTCGTATTACCTCTCATCCACTCAATCACACAGAATGAGTGCCACTGTTTTCAGAATTTCCATTTATCAATTACCCCAGAGCGACTGTTGGGTACCAAAGAAAGAACCTTGCTTCTAGCTACGCAGGCCCGAGACATAAAGTAAAATTATAACAATGGCAGACAAACGAAGTGGAATAAAAGTCTCACAACACTTCGGCACATGACGGGTTCGTTAAAATGGTTTATATACCAACCCAAAGGTCAAAAAAATCACGAATTGCACATACTCTGCAACTTCCTACATCATTCTGAAACCAGGCAAAGATGCCAAATTTTCCGCACGAATGACAACTGATGTTTTACAACAAGATCACTGGAGTCCACGAAGTAGAAGCTCACAGGATTAATTCAATACACATCAGGACCTCGTCGTGTACAGGTCCTGATCTTGTTGATTACTCTGCCCATAATCCTTCGGAATAGAATTTGCAGCAATTTTGGGCGAAGGAGGGAGGAAAGCGATCAGCGAGGACGGGCTACCTGGTCCTTTCTTCTGAAAGATTAAGACATTTGGCCTCATGTTATGAAACATAGTACAGTATTTGCAAATCGTCAGGGATGATTCACCTCTATCTATAAACCGGAATCCCCAATAATGCACATCACTCACTTGTTCACCAATTCGATTAATCTCTTTCACACCGTCGTCATTCTTCGAGTCAGCACTGCCAAGTAGCGAAGGGGAGTTGAACATCCTATCCACCAAGTCAACGTAAACTGGCGAAGAAAAGAGGAACTTGAACGAAAAAAGTCATGATTCGAAGCATTACAGGTACTTACCACTCTTTGCAAATATTAACCCTACGGCACTTGCTTCAGCAAGTTCTTCCTTCGCAATATCCTTTACGGCGGAAAACTTATCCGGGTAACTCAAGGCAGTCATACCTGAAACACCAAAAGTTTAGTCTCGTAAAATGAAATTGAAATTATACGGAGGGCACAATTCGAATGTAGAAATAATTTCAACATTTCCGTTCACCAATCTTCACTACCTTGGGTGCAAGCTACTACTTGATTCTGCATTTTTATCTCGTGAACTAACACCAATTATGGACATACAGTAGTGTACACATTCATAATTTTTCCTACAGCACAAATTTTTCATTAACTCCAGGCATAGGAAGTACAAATATTACCTCTCAGTCTCCAAATACAAGTGGCTTTCTGCTTCCTGATTACAGAGACCCATCCACCCAATTGGAAAATGAATGAGTTATATCTAACAAAAGTTTAAAATGTTGAACCAAAAGCACAGCAGAAACTTCAACCAAAGCATTTCAGGAAACAACAACAACAAAAAAACATCAAAGCAGGATCTCACATTACCCAAAGCGCCAAAGATGGGCAGCGTAAGCTTCTTGATGAAGCTTTTCCGATATGCTAACAAACTCCCACACATAGCTCCGAGACCAATGGTAGCATATCGGATAAGCTCGTTTTCTGGGCGCTGTAGACTGGATATCGCATCTGTAACAGGAATACCAGAGAATTAGAACATCACATGCTTGCTATGCAGTGGAAACTCACATGTTCCTTGACTGACGGCTTCCCCGGCAAGGTCTGCCACGGTTCCGGTGTAGGGACCAACTGCTAATCGAGCGTCCTTGATCGCAGATTCAAATTTCGTCGGGGGAGGAACCACATAAACGAAACTGCGGACCACAAGAAGAATTCTCAGAGAAACGTTCTAACATTCATTAAAAATCTCAACAAAAGCAAGTTCATAAAAAAAGACACAAATTGAACTTCATAAAACGTGCAGGAAATAACATTATATTGATATTCAAGCTCACACGGTGAAGACTATGAAGAGAAACTCACTCATCTGAAGCCTCCTGTGAATAGATGGGCAAGTCTTTTGGCTTCATGACGCGTTTGCTGGCAAGTTTCAAATCACTCTCACACATTGCAGTGGACATTCTGGCACCCATTGTAAATGTTGGCTTACCTATGCTTCAATACATGAAACACTGTAGCATAACAAATAAGGTAGAGATAAACTGTTAATCTGAAATGAATAAATCTTGACATAAGGACTAAGACAACTACTGCAGAATTCAACAGAAAATGAATGCGAACAACTCGGAGCTGTCCTGAATGGAACTTTTAAGGAACATAAGCATGAGTTAATCACTCATGAACACACGGTATATGTTCACAATAGGCCACACCACACGCGAACATCTCAGCCAATTCGCTGAGCTTCTCGTGGATAAACCAGCTCACGGCAACAGAGAAATGTGTCTATGCCAAATCTGTGAGGAGAGTTTAGTGTTGGGTCTACGACAAAGGAGTCTTTTACAATTAAGCCTAACGTAGCAGTTCGTTCCGCAGAAACTTGTATTAGGTTCATACTATTTAGGGAATTTATTATTCAATTCTACTTTTTAAACGTTTTAGAATGACACAATTCTAGCTTGAAACTGTCTATTACAGGAGATACTTTTGCTGCATTAGAGAGCAATAGGTCCATAAATTCAAAAAAGCAGAATTGAATTTTAAGCAAGAACTACCATACTTTACATTTGCTTTGGAGGAAAAGAGGTAGTTTCGCATGTGGTATGCGTAAAAATATGAAGGCCATACGCAATAAAAAATATATATCATGTGGTAAGAGGGTGATGTGCACACAGTGCTGTATTTACTCAAGTACCAAAGGCACCATTTTCCTAAAAAATGATAAGGGAAACGGAAGGTGCAGGCAGGGATATGCTAAAAAAATTAAAAGTTTTGGTGCGGATTACTTGTTCTTACAATAGGAAATTTCAGGCTAATTTTTTTTTTATCAGAAAGAATCATTTTAATTCAAGTAATTGAAAATTAGATTAATGTAGGGTCGTCAAAATTTGGGTGTGCGTCTTACTTGGGGATACAATTTTATGCAAATTTTAGACTTAAATAAGAATGGTTCGCATGTTACACAAGGATACATGGTACTTGAGCAAATACAGTATACAGCAGTTCTCCCCACACCAAAAATTAGTTCTGCATAAATTTCATCGTGCAGCGGAAACATGACAACTTCTTGGAGATCCTTCGGGATCCTGTCTCCTCCATGCAAGCTCACTCAGCTGTTATTACGGATCCCAAGAAACCCGTGAACCAGTGCATGATGCGTCCATTGCTTAAGTAATGGGGGACTGCAGCATCTCAGCGATCTATCACAAGCAACACAAGCCGATTATAGATTTTCCTTAAAATGAATCGTAATTTCATTACTCCAGTAACTCACAGGGTCCTAGAAAAATTCTCGTATTGCATTATCTTGTTTTTCCTCACAACTAAGTATCTCTGCAGTTATTCAACTTCGTGAGGCAGGAAGTACAGGAGAAATCCTTGGAAGCTAGGTAAAAAATGCTTGAGCCACCTCAAGACAAAAAAATTTTCAAGTGCTTCAAAAATTACGATAAAATCTACATTTGCAAAAAGAAGTTCAAAGGGAAATGCTCCTATAAATTGAAGTAATGCGCATGAAGGATACCAATTCACGAATTCAACCCAAGTTGTTAAATGAACATCGAACGGCTGCCCCATCTCCACGGTATCACATTTTGAAGTTTTAAACTCATGAGTTCCAGAGAAGGACTTTACCTGGTCATAGTCCTAGATGGATCTCACTTCGGAATCCAACGATTGCGCATCTTGATTACCGCGGCCAATTTGGAAGCGCACCGAGTCTAAGAACAGAACCAAATAACAGTCACAAGCAGTACACTTCGGGAATCAAAATTCCAAGGTACCTTCTCAACATTACGCCAGATCTTCAGTATATTCAATATGAAAAAGCTTGCTTGGACATAACACACCCTTAGATATAATGGGTGACGACAAAAGAGGATTTCCGACAGATGTCGGCTCGCATGACCCCCGGCAAAAACTAGGCTGGGAACATCAGAAGCGGCTAAGGCGGAGCACGGAACATAACGCTTCTGGCTGACGTTCACCTTTCCGTGCCAACGACGCAAGGTCTTCGTTTGTGCGAACATACGACCTTCTCAACACATGTTACAGTACATGAAAGCACCTTGGCCGGAATGGAGGGTACCGCCACCTCGAACACAAGGACTACGCACAACTTCACGATCAGTTCCACAGGACTCGGCAGACGTTTGATGGCCTGCGAAGTAGAGGAACCAAAATTTGAAGAGATCGCCAAAGAGCACAATTTCATCGTAAAATGTATGTCATAAAAATGATTTAATGAACTTGATTGATTCAATGAAAACAGTATGTACTTCAAAGTTGGATTCACACCGGCATCTTCGCTGACTGAATAGGGTTGCTGGTTGTTCATCGCAATCTCATGGCGGATGCCAGACAGGCACAATATCTGGTTGAATTGGTGCCAGAAAAACGGCTTCAAGCTGGATACCTTCTCATTCTTCTTGTTGAACGCGGTCACCAATGGTCGATTAATGACTACACTCTGGGTAAGATAATTATTCAGTAACAATTTCATAGGAGCTCCTGATGATCAAACACTCACCATTTTGAATCGGCAAGCGTGAACTCGCGCGTCTCACTTACCAGCTAAAACGAGAAATCAATTCGAATGGGTGAACGGGAGCTTCGGGACTTCAATGGAATCAACGTGATGCACTTGTACAGGAGAGGTGACCCACCGAAAAATCCACGCGCGTCATACAAACGTGACATCTACCAGCAAAATGAATCCCCTACAGTTTAAACCCTCTTCTCCAGCAACCCTGGCCAGACTCCCAGATACAGTATACGACGCGCGTTCATAATCATGATGCAAGTTCATAATCGCAACAAATTATGAGCAACTTTTCATCCATTCCTTGGCATTCTGCAGAAACCAACTTTGGAGGCAGTTAGGTAAAGTTAGGTTAGGTTAGTTTATGATAGTTAAAAGATGTTTTTAACCAACATAAACTAACCTAACCTAACTTTATAACCGCCTCCAAAGTCAGTTTCAGCAGAATGCCAAGGAATTTGTCCTGATTGTGAACTTGTGTCATAATGCAGAGGAATGTTCTATGCATAGCTGGCCAGAAGTTTCTACCAAGAGAGACTACTAGATGAGATATGTGAAGTTTCCACTATAAGAGAGACTAGAAGTTTCTACTCTAACCTAACCTAACTTTACCTAACTGCCTCCAAAGTCAGTTTCAGCAGAATGCCAAGGAATTTGTTGTGATTGTGAACTTGTGTCATAATGCAGAGGAATGTTCTATGCATAGCTGGCCAGAAGTTTCTACCAAGAGAGACTACTAGATGAGATATGTGAAGTTTCCACTATAAGAGAGACTAGAAGTTTCTACAAGAAGGGATATTAAGTTTCTACAAGAAGAGATATGTAAAGTTTCTACAAGAAGGGATATGTAAAGTTTCTGCAAGAAGGGATATGTAAAGTTTCTGCAAGAAGGGATATTTGAAGTTTCTGCAAGAAGGGATCTTTGAAGTTTCTACAAGAAGGGATATTTGAAGTTTCTGCAAGAAGGGATCTTTGAAGTTTCTACAAGAAGGGATATATGAAGTTTCTACAAGAAGGGATCTTTGAAGTTTCTACAAGAAGGGATCTTTTAAGTTTATACAAGAAGAGAGACCTGAAGTTCCTACAAGAAGGGATATATTAGGTTTCTACTAATATCAAATTTCATAGGAGTACAGAACTGTACATGGGAGTCTGGCCAGTGTTGCTGGAGAGATTCATTGTTCAATGTTCAGTTCATAGATGGCGAAAGTGTCCAAAGTCATGGTGGCGCGCATGGATTTTTCGGTGGGTCACCTCTCATGTACAAGCGCCACGAAGGGCGATCGGCGTCCAGCTTGAACTATGGCAGAAGCCCATGAAGCAGTTGCGTTCGCGTTTCAAATCACGCACGATGGCGTCGATGTCAACTTCGATCGCGAAGTCCTGAAACTCGTTTGGCATTCTGGACTTCGCTCCTACAAGAAACGGCTCGCCCGTTTCAAGGTGAGTTCACATGTTAAAGATTAATAAGAGCTTTTGAATCTCATCGTTGACTGATCTCGATAGAATTCCGTTCGAGCTGGAGTTTATCCTGCTCCGCTGTCGAGTTGGGTTTTAACGTTTGCTGTAACCCGTGGTTTGAGTGCCGTTGGTGTGGACTTCTTCGGATTCATTCATTTTCTCATGAGCTTATCACCATTGTAAGTAATTTGGAGCAGATTTGCAGAATTTGACGAGTCGTTGGACGTGTGTCGGTAGTAATCACATCTCGATGTGTGTTTTAAATGTTTGTACTATTTCTGCAGAAATGTGCACTTGTTCGGATTACCATTGGCATGGCTCGTGAGCTGCTCAATCGTTGCCACACTGTGGTGGATTTGTGTGATTTTATTCTTCCGTTACGGGCTGAAACTTTTGCTGATGTACAAGGGTATGCCGACCTTTTATACCCAACAAGGGTATGCCTCGTAATTCCTCATAATCAAATCTCTCACTTCTGTTCCAGGATGGATTTTCGAAGTTCGTGGAACGAAACTTCACTAACCACCAAGTTGTGGATGATGTGCTTGAGGCCATTAGCGAACGTTACCAAACCAATGCTGTACTCTTACCAACAGAGTTTACCAAGATTGCCTCTACCTTCATTGGAAGGGACGCTTGAGAGAGTAAGGGACCTTTTTTTCATTCTCTCCGTGCCGTTTTTCGAAATAAAAGTGACTTTTTGTGTGATCAGTTTTTAAGATCTTTGAAACCGTTGGAAACAGCGGAAGAATTTGCGGAAACCACCAGGTTGGCCGAAGAATTCAGATTGGGTTTAGGGAAGAAACTACAGAGATACGTTTGGCTCAAGTCATGGTTCGTACCGCATTTAACTTTTCTGTGGTTGGAATGTTTCTTAGACTTTCTCTCCAGGTGGTCTACTAATTATGTTTCGGATTGGTGGGAAGAGTACGTGTATCTCAGAGGACGATCGCCGTTGATGGTGAACTCGAATTTCTACTGCATCGACATGTTGATGGAACCTTTGACGAATGTTCAAGCCGCCCGAGCCGCCAGTATGATTTACGGAGCTCTTTTGTTTCGTCGTCTTCTGGATCGACAAGAACTTGAACCAGTGTGTTTCTTTCTTTGGCTGATTAATCGTTAATTGCTCAGCAACAATCTGTAACCCTTTCAGATCATGATTTACTCAATGGTTCCGCTGTGTTCATCACAGTACGAGCGCTTATTCAACACGACGAGAGTCCCTGGTGTTGAATCTGACACAATCGTCCATCGTGCTGATGCTGATCATATCGCCGTACTGCACAAAGGCCGCATTTTCAAAGTTCTCGTTTACCATCGTGGTCGGCTTCTAAAGCCGTGTGAAATTGAAATGTAAGTTGTTCATATCAGGTCCTAAATCTAGGTTTTCTCGATGAAGGCCAAGTCCGCTCAAATGTGTTGAACCATTGATTCTAAGCGATCCTGATTTTGTACCGCAACGTTTGAAACACTCTGACTTCTGATTTGAGGAAATCTTCCGATCATATTTAGTATGTTTCAGAATCAGAGACTTCGAATTTATAAGTTAACTGGTGATTTAAAATTTCAAATCATGGACAAAATTTCGAAAAATTTGTGTTTAATCTCTGGTCTTTTTTTAGGCAACTGCAAAAGATCCTGGATAATCCTGTTGATCCAGCTGATGGTGAAGCAAAGCTTCCTGCACTGACAGCAGGTGACAGAGAACATTGGTCGAATACCAGAGAGAAGTTCTTTAGTAAAGGAGTAAATCGGATTTCCCTCAACGCTGTTGAGTCGGCTGCATTCGTGGTGACATTGGATGACAAAGAGTTTTACTACGACCCTGTAATTTGCTCCTGTGATGAAAATGACGAGTTGTGGTTAATTCGATTGTAATTTTTCAGAAAGACCACACGAAACTGGACAAGTACGCGCATCAATTGCTGACTGGGAGTGGTTGCGACAAATGGTTCGACAAAACATTCAATCTAGTTGTCGCGAAGAACGCAAGAGTGAGTTGATTTCTAGATTCTGACAATTGCACATTTCTTGAAAATGTTTTTTTAATGTTTTCACAGATCGGCTTCAACGCGGAACATTCTTGGTAAGAAATCCTCATTCCAAATCCGAACGGAAATAATTTTTACCTCATGACAGGGCTGACGCTCCAGTTATGGGTCATTTGTGGGAATACATGCTGGCAACGGAAGTGGTTGATTTGAAGTAAGCGTCCAGTCTTCCGGTAATTTTTGTTCTGGTGATTTTTACTAAATTTCCTTTCAGGTACAAGGAAGACGGACATTGCGATGGTGAGCCCGCCTTCCATCCGCCAGAACCAGTGAAGCTGAAATGGCAACTTCCTCCCGAATGTATTGACAATATTGAATTCAGTTACAAGGTCAGTTATTTTTACACCAGAAATTTGAACCCTATTGCTTGTTGAAGACCATTATGTACTACTCGGTGAAAGTAATATCCCATTGCTCCTGGCTGTGAAGCAACAAATTTTGATTGTTCCGTTTGATGATGAGGAAAATTTCGTTGATATAACAATCTTTTATTGAATCAGTTTTAAAAAAAAACTATGTCATAAGTTATGTGTATGCTTGAGTTCGTCAGACGTTCACGAACTTCTACAGGTTGCTAGAGGACTAGCTGATGACCTGGACCTTCGCTTGTATGTCCACGATGAATTTGGAAAGGGAGCTATCAAGAAATGCCGCTTGTCGCCCGACGCATTTGTACAAATGGCTTTGCAATTAGCCAGTTACCGAGTTAGTGAAGAACTAATCTCTTGAGTTTAGTTATTCACTGTCATAGTTTTAGTCGAGAAATTAATTTCTCTTCTTAGGACTCCAACGGGAAATTCTCATTGACTTACGAAGCATCCATGACTAGGATGTATCGCGAAGGCAGGACTGAAACTGTCCGCAGTTGCTCAATCGAGTCTTGTGCTTTCGTGTTGGCGATGGAGAACCCTGAATCCACGGTGAGTTTGAGCATGAATTTAGTATATACTGTACTTGCATTTAGAACTGATTATTTACCACTATCGGGGTCGAAATGTACGTAATACAGTATCATTCATCCGTATTTACATCGTGCTCAACGTATAGAAGATCGAGGCTATGGTTTTTTTTCAATTTCAGTTCGTAACATTCCAGGCTTTTTGACCAAATTCTGCTTTCTATCATGCATTTTTTTTAAAATTACACCAGGATTTCCTTGTCTCTTCCCATGAGTAGACGGACATTCGTGAAGAGAAGTTATGGTGCATTTTATTCGGGAAATACGGTTTCTTTTCGCTCTGATCCCTCCCCCCCCCCCCCCACAATCACCTTGAAAATTTTCGAAAGCCTTCACTGTACATTATGTTCAACTTTGAAAAGTGCAATAAATGAATGTACATTGATGAATTAACCTCCTGTTTTTTGCATTTGGCGTATCACCCGAGAATGATTCTGACTTTTCAATATTCATTAACTCATGATTATGCATAGTACCTATCCGATGTGTCGTACAATATGCAAATCGACTTTTCCTTGCAAATTTTAACTATAAGATTGCCCTAAATCTTCATGCTTTTCGATTTTACAGCCAAGCGAGCGTTACAAGTTGCTCAAGGACGCTTGTGATCGACACCAGCTGAGCTATCAGGCAGCGATGGTTGGAGAAGGCGTGGACCGACACCTGTTTTGCCTGTATGTGGTGTCCAGGTACCTGGATGCGGATTCTCCCTTCCTGAAACGTGTACTGAGCCAACCGTGGCGCCTGTCGACGTCGCAGACGCCCCACGGACAAACGTCGAAGCTGGACCTGCGCAAAAACCCGCACTGGATTTCAGCGGGCGGCGGATTCGGGCCAGTTACGGACGACGGCTACGGTGTATCTTACATCGTTGCCGGCGAGGATGTCATCTTTTTCCATATTTCGTCTAAGCGCTCGTGCAATCTTACTGTAAGTCGCTGCGGTTCTTTTTTCTTGTCTTTGAGGGGAATTTTTACTTTTTCGGGAATAATCTGTTGTCACTTTCGTTTTACTGTATTTGAGGTGCTGCTCTGGTAAAAATTTATGTCGAATGTTTTTCTATGGCTAGGTTGATGCACCAATTCTCTGACCTGAGAGGAAAATTTCTATCTTTATTTAATGATTCAATTACCGTCCAAGCATAAATTAAAATGTCGACGGTTTGCTGAAGAATGGCTCGTAAATAAACTTTAGGCGTGTGGAATCGCAATATCCAAGAGGAATAGGGGAACACTCTTTTTTTTCTATTGAAGTATCTCGTTTGAGAAGATTCTTCAATTCGATGGGATTTTAGATTATTTAAAATTAAATGAAAAAAATTGAAATAATACCTTATGTGCACGCATACGGGGTGTGCCAGAATTTTATGGAACTCGAGCTTACTGTCCCAAATTGATCCCACCTGAAGAGGAGAAAGATTTTTTTCTTCTTTTATGAAGGCCATCATCGAGGTGATGGCATCTTTTGAACGTGATGAAAAAAAAATTATTTCTTAATTTTTGGCATATCGTGATGCTATTTAGCAATTGTGTATTGCATTGTGCTTGTAGGATTCTACTCGCTTCGCTGAAAACATCAGGAAGGCCCTACTGGACATCAGAGACTTGTGTGGCTCGGAAATCAAGCGGAAAACGAAGAAGGATGAGGCCAACGGGGCCCAGGTGAATGGACCAGGAGGAAGTCATTGACGAAGCTCTCAAAACGCGAAGAAGGAAAAAATGAAAATCTGGAACGTCTCGTTCTTCTTCCTCTTTTTGTAGACAACGATCAAGCCTTTCTTTTTTGTACATACGCTTTTTTCGCTGCTCGTAGAAACAATTGTTAACCACAGAGATAAAGTATGTTCGTCTTCGTCACGACTGTGAGCAGAAACAATGCAATTGAAAGTGGGCTGAGGTGTTCTTTTTTGTCATGTCCTGAGGGGTGAAGCGGCTGAAGTTGTGACACATTTTTAGGGATTTTTTTTTCTCCTTGGCTTTCCGTCCGCGGATTTTTATATCATCTGGCTGATGGGGCTGGGAAACTGCATTTTTTGGTATCTCTTTTTTTTTTTTTTTTTTTTTTTTGACGAAGGGGAAGCAGAAACCGGGAATCTGAATATTGTAGATTCAGCTGGTAGCATTTGACATCTTCTAGCGTTTTCTGAAACGCGAAGGCATGTCTTTTTTCATTTTCCAGGAAAGAAACATTGTTTGCTTTGAGGTTTTTGTAATTTTCTTTTTCGGAGATTGCGCTTCGTAAGTGAAAAATTACCTTATAATGTTTTTCCTGGAGGAATTTTGTGAGTCACGTAAGAGTTCAATTGTCGATTGCGAGAAGCGTTTAACGCTAGTTTATTTTTGCCACGGTGAAAATATTTGAGGAACGATATTTTGTTTCGGCAGTCATTTGAAGGAGTAATGCGAGCTGTAGCGGGTCTCGTGGGGTCAGACTCGGTGTTGTCTCATATTTTAGTGACAACGAGAGAGGAAAGGTGTCATGCATAGGCTGTTTTCTTCTCCGATTAACCGAGGATTTCGGTGCTTCCGGAAGTCCCGTCTTGTTAAAAAAAAAAGCAGAAGAAAAGGAAAAAAAGCTTGCCGGCTAGGTGTGGGTTTTTTGGTTTTTTTTCGCGAAAACTTATGGTTGACGGGTGACAAAGCGGAAGTTTGTCCGCTTTCTTTTGTGTAGGATCAAGATGCAACCTCGTCCAATGCAATGGGATAGTTTTTACGGATTCGAAGTTCGGAAGGAGAAGTAATACAGGACTTACCGTTGGTCGACCCATTTTGTTCCGCATTCGATGAGTTTCTCTCAAGAGGGGGTCAACTATATGTATATCTTCCAAATCTAAATCAAATATTTTGGAAGTTCCATGTGGTTTTCCCATCCTTCTCTTTGATTTGTTAGTGTGTATTCTACTGAATGTTCTCAGCTGCAGTTTATTTTTTATAAATTCTCTGCAGGAGAAGTGCTAGCCATTGGCAATGGTTGTGGAAAACGGGCTGAAGGCATCCGATGAGGTCTCTCGCAGCTCTAGGCATGGAGTTGCTGCCAGAAGGACTCAAACTGCTGTCAAAACCAAGGTAAATTATGTCATTGATTCAAAAATGCGAGGGTTCCTGTCAAATGAAAACGCGTGTTTTGTTTTCCATGTGGGCGACAGTTTTCTTCCCATTGGGCTTTGGAGAACACTTATTGTTCATAAGTTCAAACACCACCTATTCGCGTTTGGCCATGATCGACTTCTGTTTTATTTCTCGCCGAAATGTAGTATAATTTGTTGAATACGTGTAAATCTGAGACGCACTTCTGTTACTTGAAAAAATAAATTTTATTCAAATTATTGTATCAACTCCTTTCTTGAGGTTTGTCTTCTCGAAATACAGTAATGTTCAAGACTCAGCGAATAAATGGCTATCGCTGATCTGGGATGCGATTGTTCCCAAGGTTTTACCGAAGAAGAATCACCTCACGAAGGGTATAGCATGTTTTTTTTTAAATTTGCTCTAACGTAGTGCCGTACATAGTCAAAATCTATGCATATCGTTTCTCTGATGTAGGTGGTGATCCGCCGACTGCCGCACAGCATGTCGGAAGCCGAGTTCCTGGACGCCGTTGGACCTTTGGGGCCGCACGATTACTTTTATTTCGTCGAAGGTTCTTCGAAGCAAGGTCCTTTTGGCTACGCAAGGGCCTACATAAACTTCGTTGACATCAATGACCTGGCCGAGTTTGGTCAAAAGTTTGACAACTATGTGTTCGTTGACGCGAGTGGGACCGAATACCCTGCCGTTGTGGAATACGCGCCTAGTCAGCGGATCCCGAGGAAACAACCGAGACCCGTCGCGGGCGGCGCGACTGTTGGCGGCGAGACTGAGAAGCCCGTGAGTTGATAATTATCGTGCGGGATTCAGAATTTATTCCAATTTATGACCCACTTTTCTGTAACAATTTCACCACGCAAGAATACTGTAATTAAATAAAACGAAGTATCGCTTCTTAGGAATGGACGGCGTTCTGCAGAACTGATTGCAACAGACCTGGCGATTCAGAGTGAAATGATGTGAAAGCAACTGTCGATTAATTTTTCTACGTAATTATATTTTTTGAATAAATCATTGTCGAACAGGGTTAATACAAAAGATCCCTAAGGTTTGTCAAAGTTAATATGCTTTCATATCGAAATTATTGCGAATTTGGTCGAGCGTGTAAAACAGCATTTATTGCGCCTTGTGAAGCAAATTAAGGTGCGTTTTAGTACCGGTTTGCTGATAAAATTCTTCGCTAAAAATCAAAATTGAATGAAGCTGAAGAATTTTGAAGAAAGCTTGACTAAATATTGATCGCCCAAGTTTTTTTTTTTTTTTACTATCAGTGGTTGTGTTCAAGGTGTTTTATACGATAAGGTTAGTTTTTTTAGAGGGCGGGGGGACAGTCAAATGGCTTTTAAAAGTTAGAGAATTATGCCTGTGGACTGGATTGAATTCGTTATCGCGAAACGAGTAAGAGTTATTGGGAAGAGTATAACGACCTTGTGGTGATACAAGTTTGGAAAAATGTAGGGCAAAGCGAAGTCTGAAGTGGTGGGCACGTACGAATCCGATCCGATGTTCCAAGCATTCTTGGAGAAGCTCAACGCCGAGCCCGAAACTATTCCGCTTCCTACGCCGGAGGATTTGCTGGCCGAAATCGAGGCCCGTGATAAGGAGCTCAAAGGTCTGTGTCGCATCGTTTATCTCACGCTGATGACTTCGCAATTTACAGGAAAAGCTAGTCCGTGGACTTTGCTTTCCAATTTATTCACCATATCACCTTTGACCCCGATTAGTATTTGTTGAGGACGACAGTACGGTATTATGATTCCCCGTCGCAGAGATGTATGCAATTCATCGTGACGGATCTTCTGCCATAATATCGTGATCATTGAGAAAATGACAGTGAGATTACCTCACTACCGTTTGTTTTGGTATGAGAATCAAGTGTATGTACTGAAATAGTACAGCTTTACTTTTTGTAAATGACATCGGTGTCGCTTAATTTAGTTATGTCTCATCAAGTCTACGTTAAGTATTCACTACGTTGACATGTCTGGAGAAGGCCATCTTGGCCAGTCTTGTGCTTCAGGCGACACTTGGCTGCCATCGATGTGAAAAATAAACCGAAATGTTCTTGATGTATTTTTTCTGCGAAGATTGCATAAATTTTCATTATCTTGGAAATTTGTGCAATTAATTTTCGTGGAATGATTAAATCACGAATTTTTATTACGTGTCTTGACTCATTTTTAAAATCCAATGTTCACACCTACGCATAGTTGAAGACGCTGTCTGAAAGGGTTTTTTTTTTCAGCGAGTAACGGTGTTCCGATTGTGATCACGCCGCTCATCGAACGCGTGATGGAACTGCAAGCGGAAAAGGGAAGATGGCGTGACGAGAAACGGGAAGAGCGGAAACGGAAGGAGCAGGAGAAGAAGCGGCTGCGCGAAGAGGAGCGAAGGCGGAAGACGAAGGATCATCACCCCCATTCGCACAGAGATCGCGAGAAGACAGACACTGGTCACGGGAAGTCAGTGTCGTCGAGGGTTCGACACAATAGCAGGGACGCTGACGAGCCTCGACGTCCGCCGCCGAGAAACAATGCGAATAAGCCAGCGTTGAGGAAGAACAAGTTGGAGGAGAAGCGATCTGACGAGTCTATTCCTTCGATTAAGGTCCGTCTGCCCGATCTTCATTGAAATTCAAAATCCCGTGTCGTGAGGTTCTTCATCTGTTCGGAATGAAATGCCCTCTACCAAAACGGAGTGCACAGTATCTCTTTCATTTCTAGACATTATTGAAGAATTTACAACTTTCTGAATACGAGTCTGTATTTTTGTAATTACTGTATCTGTCTGCTGTATTTCACCTATTCGTGTCAAGACTCCAAGCAGAAGTCAATTTCCTTTGTATGCTGGTATTTTCAATCGTGCAAATGTGAAGACATGGATAAATTAAACGCAGATTGAACTCGAATAAAAAATTTGTGAAAGCTATTCAAATGCCTGTTATATTCACCTTCCACAGTACAGCAGTTCGTCGATGTGATGTTTAGAAGGATCTTATCTTGTGTGCTTAGCTGCAAGGTTCTCCCAAAAACACCCGGTACACTGGTAGAATACTTCTGTTCAATTCGAATTGCGCGAAGCCCGGCTGTGAAAGAGCGTCTTTTCTTTTTTTGTAGCTACTCAGAAAGCCTTCGGTTGCCGTCGATGGCGAAGAAGACGGGTCATACGATGGCGGAAATAGTCAGCAGCCGTCGAGCAAGAGGACCGCCAACAGCAGCAGTAGCAGTAGCTTAACGTCGGTGAAGAGAGACGACGAGCGAGAGGAGAGAATGGTCGTGAAATCCGCGGTGTTTTCATCAAAGACGGGGAAGCGATCCTCGACCAAGTCCTACCGGTTTGACGACGGCGGCGACCAACCTTCCTCGGCGGCAACGGGCAAACAACGGCGGTCCCGAGACCCCGATGAACCCGGGGGAAAAAGTGAGAAGGATGAGGATTCCAAGGCGAGGAGAGAGCGCGAGAAGCGACGGAACAGGGATCGGCCGGCGATGGAGATTTATCGACCGCCGCCGCGACGAAGTGGTCAGTCGGATGCAGCGGCCGAGCCTGATGGCGAACAGCACGAGCGGCCGCCACGCGAACACAGTCCGGAAGATGGCGCCAGAGGTTCCAAACCCGTGCAAAAATCTATGACCTTCCGTCGAAACCACGAGTGATACAGACCGTCTGTGTTTTTGTTTCATTGTTTTGGTTTGCTCTTAAAATGTTCACGAAATTTCACGCGAATTTTCGAATTGCCTCTTCGGAAAAAAAAAAAATGCAGTACCTGTAGTGTGTTGAACCTCGCCCGTTCCAATAAATGGGGTCGCCTGAATTTTCTCGTTTCTGTGAGATTCAGTTGTGTCTTGAGTTAGGTTTAGAGAAGCTGAGAACTGTTCCGTTCAATTTCAAGAGTGAGATGACAAATTCCGTAAGGAGGGGAAAACTTTGCGTTGAACTGTTACGAGAGTTGCTTTTCTTTACGTCACTGCATTGCCGTTGATTAAATAATGGTGGTTTATTCGATTCGTGGATTTCAGATTTAACGTGGGGGTCTCAAAATGTGGTGGGAGTGTTTGCCAAGTTTCTTTATCATTATCGGGGCTTTGGCCGTTCCTGGCCAGCTGGCCTTCGTTGTCAACAAACTGGCCTTCGATCATGTGAGTTTTTTTTTTTTTATCCTGGTCCATTTAAATATCCTTGAAACCTCTTTCGCCTTTGTTTGTTTGCAGAAATTTCGTCGTGACAGAACTGAAGATTATCAACGCATGTATCTTCTGCGTGACTTGAGGCTCACAGGCAACTACTACAAACATGAAGTTCGTGTTTTAATTTCTTTCGCTCTTCAAATTCTGATTCATGACACTTCGGAGAATTTACCTGCGTATAGGCTGCATATTTTCCTTTCCGGAATTTTTTTTTTCAAAATATTGCAATATTGAGGAAGATCTGCATGGAAACAATATTGTTATTTCCTATGTAGAAGCTTTTACATAATGTAACTGTAATTAAATACAGTAATTACTCACAGTATTTGATTGTAATTGAATACAGTAATTACTTATGTTTAACTGTGTATTTAAACACTGTATTGTAAGCTCAATGCAGTATTTTAAAACCCCATATTTGGTAGTAATATTTTTCACTACATGATATTTAGAGATCTCTGCCGAAGTTCGTTCCATTGCGTTGAATTGAACCGAACTGAGATTATTCCCATTAACCTGAAATAGTTCATTTCGGATTAGTCTGTTGTATCGAAGTTGGTCACTAATTTGAATCAATTGCCGTACTTTTTTGAATGACCAGATTGATGTATTTTTCATGACAATTTGGGAAAAGTCTACTCCTGATTTGCATTTTATGAAATGTTCGAGTGTCGGGCTTCTAAATACTTGAGAATATATTTCAGGGTTTGGATGCTCTTCCCGATGAGCCCCAGCCACCAGCACCGGTCAAGGAAGTTCCGGAATACAAGAAGAAGAACCCTGGAATGTTCTACAGTATCACGTGAAAGCTCTTGCCAGCCCCCTTTCAAAAGAGACAAGCAGAACGTCAATCGTCGAGTCTCAGCGACGTTTAGATTTAATCTAAATTCCCCGTGAACCCGTCGAGCCAGTTCATAGGATGAACGGATGTGTGCAATTCGCCGAATAAAAGAATAGTGTTCGATAATGATTTTTGAGATTTTTGCCCTCGTGTCAATGTTTATTCAGCGAAGCAAGTTTTGAAGCCGATTGACTGGGTACGCAGGTCTCGCTTGAAGAGAAAGGAAATGGTGTGATTTTACTCGAGCGAGTAATAAATTATTTCTCGCGTTTCTGGAGGAGCGAAAATGGCGAGTGTGATAGGACGCATGTATCGGTCTGCAGTGCCATGGGCTGTGTTGCGGAGTAGCTTTCAAATCAAGTCTGGGTCGTCAATTCTTGATCTGGACATTCGAAGGTGAGCTCATTGTTTTCGTTTTGGCTCTCCTGTCCGACATATTTGTGGGCCCTCGAAAAATAAATGCAAATACAGTATTGAGTGTCCTTATTTCAAATATTCTTCAAAATCCCTAATACTGAGGTCTTCGACATGGCAGGAAGGTTTTTTTCGTTGTGCAGGTGAACTCTCAACAACGAAACCCAAGTAACCTGAAAAAAAAAGTCGTTGTGGAGAACCCGTATAAAATCGAAAAAGATTCGTTGTACAGAAAAAATCGTGGAGTAGCAAAATTAAGCAATTTGTTCTTTTTCATAATCGGAAAGCTGTCACAACGAAAAATTTGTCCATCGTGACTTGTGAAATGATTGCTTTTTTTTTTGCTTTGTTAGAAATCCGTGCGTGTTATGACCTGAATTAAACCGTTTATCGTGTTGATTTTCAGGAATTTCGTTGCCCCATTTTCACGCCACGTCTCGGTTCTCAATTGTGCCGTCGAAAATGACAAAGAAGTGCCAAAGAAAGACGAAGGCGTCGATAAGAAACCTGCTCTGGTCCTGTCCGACTCGGCTGTCTCGCGATTGGAGGAAATCCTGAAAGAAGACAATTTCCTGAGAGTTCACGTGGAAGGCGGCGGCTGTTCCGGATTCCAGTACGTTTTTTCCATCGACAAGGAATCTCGCGACGACGACATGTGAGTCCATGGAAAACAAAGGAATTATATCCCTCTTAACTTCAAAAAAAAAAATATTTATTAAATGAATTGCTTGGAGGAATAAGTTTCCGCGGAAATTTTAAAATTTTCGCCATAACTCGTTCAGATGATGCCTAAAGCATATTTCTGCTACATAGCGATCATTGAAGTGAATTTACTTCACATCGGGCAATCTGTTCCCCCACCATATGCATGTGTGTGGTGCAGGGCCATAGCCGATAGATCATGATTCATGAGTTGTACAGCAGTACAGGTGATGTAATGCAGGGAACGCATGTACGGATCTTCAAATCCTGTACAGGCGTCATCTACGATGGGAAAGCGAACTACCTTTGCATCTGTATCGTGGTCCTCTGTCGCCAGAGTTGACAAACTTTGAAACCTTACCCAATGATATGAAGAAGTATTTCGTAGATGTCGCTGGTGCATGGGGTCTCTGAAATATATGGCAGTCATCGACTATAGCTCAATGGTCTACTTTATGTGCCCAGGTTAACGTTTAGGGGGAAATGCAGAAATAGCCTATTGATATTTTCAAAGGAAAAAAATAAAAATAAATAGGCATTACTGTGATGCATGGCGAGCAGGAGGGCAGAAGACGCGTTCATCAAGTGGTGTTCCAAGGGCGTGATGATTCACAGATGGATGGTTGAGAGAGTGTGTGTCATTTGTTGGTGTCGGCCGAGTGAAGAGTCTCGTTTGAAATTCGTGGCTTGTCGTTTTTGGAGAAAGTCCGGTCGTGCGTTGGGAATGGCGAACCCGTTGCATCATGCATGCGAGTTTCCGATCGGAGCGATAATGCTTTCATGCGCTGCTGCATTTCAGAGTCATCACGCGCGGAGGAGCAAAGGTGGTGATCGACGAAACGTCACTGGAGTTCGTCAAAGGTGCAACGGTCGATTATCACCGGGAGCTGATTCGATCTGCGTTTCGGATCGCGGACAACCCACAGGCCGAACAGGGATGCTCATGCGGCTCATCCTTTTCTGTCAAGTTTTGAAACGAAACGACCTGTATTTTATTTTAAATTTTTCTCGTGTGTCCGTCTCTCGAAGAAAATTAGTCGTTTTCTGGATTTTCCAACGAGGAGGATAAGGAAACTCATGCGAATCGCGTGAAAAGTCGTTTATGGAGTGATATACTCGTGCTTCAAAGGGATATTTGGAAAGATCGTCGTGTTTTGTTACCAATCGTCATGTGTGTGTCTTTTTTACCCATTTTCTATACTCGACGTATCCTTGATGTCTAGTTCATAATTTTTTGGTATTTTTTCATTGTTCTTGACGTGAAGACGCACGTCTGAACCACTGTTTCAATTTTTACCCATCCAAGTTCAAGTCGGTTGGAGGCACAGTTCTGAAAATGTCATCCCATCCTTGTTAAGCAGTAAATGTTGGTCGTTCATCCGTCTGAAATATCTCATGCTCCAAGTCTCCTTCAAATATACAACTGGTGATCTAGAAGTTGTTCATTCCAGAGCTATGATCAAAAGACATTTCACTGGAAACGGAGAAAGCTTGTTTCAAGTTCTGGCATTTTTACTCAACATATGGATTGGAAAATTTGGATTCAGATGCTTTGCCAAGTTTAGGGCTTCGTGATAGTTATAGAGCCTAATTTACACTCGATTTTTTTATGGACGAGTTGTTCACGAATTGATGGTTTTTATGTGGAAGTCTATTGATACAAAGTAGAATTGGTTGGTGAGGGGCCGTGTTGATCAATTTCAAGGAACTGGCGAAACCTCTAACCGATTTTGCATGGACGTGTGTTACTGAAATTGTGCTTATTTTAATTCCGAAGGACGAACATTAGAAGAATAAATTGGGTTTCTACACAGATTTCAGCGGAATCATCACGAATCAGCAGAGCCCGCGATTCACCAGCAGTAGGTAACCCGAAACATTTTACCTGAATACATCGATTTTACCTGAAGCCATGCATCGAATAGGAATGCGCATGTGATTCCGCTCCTATTTGGACAGGGCATCCAAAAAAGGTTCAAGTGCACGCTTTTTTCCCTTGTCTGAAGACGAGTCATGCATAGGTGTTACACATCCGGAGTTTGTGTATGCAGTCGCGCGATATATGGACCGTATACAAGATATGGAAACGGAGAATTTCCGCTACTGTGCATGAGCCACGTATGAGGATGGGGGCATTTGATTTTGTAAATTTGTCGAAGAGAAATATTTGAAATTACTGTACGTTGTTCTCGGACATGTACTTGGGCTGATGCGCACTGGCAATTGAAGGTCGTCGTACAGTTAATACACGTTCATATACAGTAAGGTACCTTGAAGATACCGTCCTGATAGGTCCATCTGCACTAGCAACATTCGAGTCAACAAGTAATTAAAATCTCGGATCATGCTTTCACTTATCCACGATATCTTATAAACTATACGATCTACTTTTAAAAAGCGTTCCTGCATTCCCTCATCCAGCCGTGACTCGGACAATTACGTTACGGTACTCCCTGAAGTACAGATCTTCCGTTACCGATGATCTATTGATCATTGTTCAAATGCTGCGGCATGTCCCTCACCAGTTTTTTCTCCTCATGCAGATTATGTACACTCCCCCTGAGATATCTAGAACGAGCCTGAGGGCAGAGAAGTGCACGCAGGACAACCTCCGAACAAAGGGAACTGGTGGCGATGCACGCTTATTACGCCCGCGTGCAAGCAGTCCCTGGGCCTCCATCTTGCTGCAATTGATGTCACGGGGTGGAGTGACTCCTGAGGTCGAAATTGCCTCCCTGAATCACATCATCTGTACACTGCTTCACATTTTTCTGATAATTGTTCATCATTCAAACGAAAGTGAAGTCTGAAAGACAGCCTCGAAATTCTGTTTAATCTTATTGGGATGCAAACGATACAATCCTGATTCTTGTCAGTGTTTGAGAATGATATGATCAAGCTGATATGATTAAGCATGCTGGGTATTACATCAGGTGAGGAATATCTGGCTTTTTATATTTATTTTACATTCGAAAGCGCAAGCCTCTGTTCAAATTTCATTTCGTGCCATATGAAACTGAACATGAATAATTTGTGTGTTTTCTGCAAAAGAGTAAATACTAGTCTCAATATAATGTTCAGTTGTAACAATTTGAGCATTCTGGAATAAGTTGGGATAAAAAATGTTGACTATTTTTTAAAGCTGCTGCCGAAAATTGAAGAAATTGAAAATCCTTCACGTTTCTGGCAGATCTAAATCCGCACCTGTATAGAATTTGAAAATACTGTAGTGCATTATCCGCCTTTCTGATCTGTTGGGTTTTCAAAAACTATTTTGAATAAGAAGCATGCTCTTGAATGGATTAGTTGTCACAAAATTATTTGTTCATTGTATTGAATGAGAAACGTTCTACGGATTGATTATTTTTAAAGGTCAGATGATGAAGGTACTGTACAGTATTATATTTTTTATTGTGAATATATTTGGCAGCTCTATATAGAAACTCGGTTGTTCTGGAAAACTGAAAAAATCCTGCGCAGAAAAGTAATAACTGCGAATTCATCATTAACCAGAAATTGGGAGATGGGTCTCATTTCTGCCTAAAATGCGGAGTTTACAAGGTTGACAGCAAATTGCTTTTTTTTCTGAGTGCGAATCGCAGTCTGGGTAATTCTTTCCATCATCCAGCCACCAGTTTCTGAACAACGACCTTTGGCCCCCCCTCGGTATATACCCACGGTGCGATGTGAATGAATGATAGTTCGACTCCGTTTGAACCTTGGAGTGGTTGGGGCCTGCGAGCTCAACGGACTGTGCATGGGGCTTTTCGGAGGAGATGGGGGGGGGTGAGAAAGAGAGAGAGAGTATCACCAACAGCACACGGCGCATACACACACACACCCTCTCCCGGGATTGCCAAGAACAGCTGACATGCCCAGATGACTCGCAGGGAGGGATGACTGCGTGGTGGTGGAGAGAGGAAGACGACCGGAAAAAACGAGCGTTGGGTTGCCTCGGTTTGCTGCGGCGTGGGGTGGGAGGAAAAAACTGTACGGGCGGCAGCGTGGACGCACTCACTCGCGGACAGCCCAGAGACCGGAGGAGAAAAGCTTCTTGGGGCCCGGGTCATTACATCCCTGAACCCAGCTTGGCTATCGGTCACTTGGCCGTTCGACAACCTCATGGATGCTCGGTCGGTCCAGCTCCTCTCTGCCTTCGAAAGTACCCAAGGAACGATAATAAACCCGTGAACTGCATCTTCGTGTTCATCACTATATACTGTAGTAAATGCCTACAACAGGGAAGTACCATGCAGATTATCTTATTCTGTGTGCGATATACCAAAGTGCTTGAAAATTTGTTTCCCGCTGATGATCAATCAGTCGCGCGCTTTCACATATATTTTGCAAAAAAAAAAAAAAAGAATCTCCTTCGAGAACAAAAGCCGCCAATTGCATGTGCTGTGAGTGAACGGACCCGGTGATTTCCTCCCGATTTCTGACCATGGAAAATCGCGCGGTAAGTTCGTGCAAACATTTTCTGGAAAATCGTCACAACACCACTGCGAAGTAGCTTGTTTTCTTTCTACAAACTAAAATGCGCCACCGCTTCTTTTCCTCGTATGTTGTTAATTGGCTCTCAATAGTTTTGTTACGTAATTAATCGGGTACCTTTCAAGTCCAGTTAAGGATGCATGATAATGGAAACCTGCCTTTTGAATTCAGGGACTCGATCATTTTTCTATAGACGGCTGATGTCGTGGAAAACTTTTCACCATCCGTTTGTGGAAACCCCGTCAGCTGATATTCAGTAAATTGTACATGTTGTGTTGTGTTGGAGGAAAATACTGTATCATTTATGCTATTTAGGCTACGTACTGTATATGTAATACAGTTTATGCTTTCGTGTCACGTTACATTTGTTGGTGCGATGTGTTCGCGGACAGATCAAAGAAGCGAAAAGCATCACGTATGATTAAATCAGCGATGGGAAGATGAAAAATTTCGCGAAAACGAGTATTTTTTAACTTACAGTATACGTTGAATGCTGATGAACTTTCCAACTCCTTATGGAAACTACAGTAGTAGCTGGGGTATCCTTCGTCCCCCCATTTTTGTATGATGGGGCCTCTCGGGGGGTTTCATGGATCTTGGTGCCTTTTTGTCCTTAAACATTCTAAGGAAACTTTCGGTTCATTGTCTCATCGTGGGTCTCGTGAACTTCGTGGGACGATGAGGAGCTAATCACAATTAATTGATGGTGATGATGAATTCGGGAAATGTGTTTGGCGTTTTTCCATAATTCCCTCTGTCATTACGACACTTTTCGTTGAGCGTTTTCGTTTTCCACGGCGGGGGTTTTCCACTTGCCATCTTTTGCCGTCCGGAAGCAACTTATCTTCCTTCGATCTTCGATACGTGCGTTCGGTGAATGAAACGTCATTTTTGTGTCTGCGATGATTCCCTTGTTCTTTCGAACCGCGCGCTTAGCAAAAAAAAAGGGGGGTTTTGCGACATTCCATCAGGGATGCGTATAAAAGGAATTGAGTGAAGGTGGGCATTCTTTAGTCAAGTCTGATGCTGTGTGAGAATCGGAGCTGAACAGTCAGCATCTCGTCGAGTGTTTTGCCATTCCAAAAAGACTGTTATTCGCACAGTCGAACTCCCTCTTTTAATGTAAATTTAAGGAACCGAAAAAAGGAAATTGAGTAGCAATTTTGTTGAGAAGAGCAGAGGATTATTTCATGAAAATGGTAATTGGTGATATTTTCAGGCCTGAAATTGCTTGTGAAGTGAGTTGACAATACGCTGAACACTCGGAGGCTCGGTTTTCTTTGCCCAATTAATCTTGTGCTTCCTCTCACAGCACATCAAGTTGCATCTTTTATAGAAGGCCTTTTTATTTTCTGCGTCTATAATGTAATAGCCGAAAGACACCCGGAAAATTCGAGTTAGTTGTTTCTAAGGGAATTCTGAGATGGTCTTGAGAAAAATTCCAGTTACCAATGTTGGAGTGTTTGATTACGAGATGAAGTATTTAACACGTTTTGCGTCCCACGACAGTGAACCATACCTTCGAGCCAGGGACCCTTGGTTTTTGTTCAGTGTCCTGGGTTCGTCTCATTGTGTCCCAAAACCCCTGGTATTGTTATTGGTGGGGCCATGTGGACCCGCAATGACCCTTGGTGACATTAATTGTTTTCTTATTTCGACAAGCTGGGGGT